TCAGATTAAATAAGTCATGCCGGTGATTTTTTATGCCCAACTTTGTACCAGTAATATAACCCATGAAAGAATAAGAAAAGTTTCAACTTTATTTTCCTATGGTCACAGCTTACGTTTCGGGAAGGAGAATCACTGTAAATTTGAAGATAGATCACCTAAAAGAAAAGGTGATTTCTTTCATGATTGGGAGGTCATGCAAAGTAAACCTTTGGAAAAGTGATGATAAATTATCATCTGAATAATATAATTGAATACTGGATCTTTTCCCTGAAGCTCACTAATTGAATTTTATCTAACGTGCGCAAATATTTTCCATTAACTAGGTAGTACTGTAGGTAGTAGACAGCCAGTGCCGGATTTAGACCTGTGGAGGCCTCTTTGTGGAGGCCCCCCTCATTATAACTACCCAAGAGGGTGGGGTGGCGAGTGAAGGGAGCCTGGGAGTTCCGGGGGGCGCTGTAAGTCCCCCCGGGAAAATTTTGAAATTTGAACACTTCTTTGGAGAATTTTGAAGCCATATGCAGTTATATTGAGGAAATTAGAACATTGAGAACATTTTAATTAACTGTATATTTATTGATAGTGTACAAATTCCCAACACACACACACACACACACACACACACACACACAAAAGTGAGACATGACTGGAGTCATTCATGTGGTTTCAAGTCGACCAGCCCTGATATAGCTACTACCGCACATGTCAAAAATTTTCAAGAGACTCCACAGAAAAAATATTTTATTAGTTATTACAGAGAGACGATTCTTTGCATTATTAATCAGATAAACCTCTACTCAAATAATGGTTCTGTCCAAGTAGCTAGCCTAATTTCTATCACGCTTCTTGCTGAACATACATGTAGTTTTACGTGATGGAATAGATAAACATGAATTTTAAAGAATGAAAATAAAAATAATCCAAATGAATAAACAAATAAATAAAATATTGTAATATGTGGAGGCCCCCAGATTGTGGAGGCCCCAGGGCAGTTGCCCAGTTTACCCACTCCTGAATCCGGCCCTGTAGGCAGCTATCAAACAGGGAGGTACTACCGCCTGGGAAGATGGTAGACCCCGCTGCCATATGGCATCATAAAAATTGGGACCTAGTCCCAAGTTACTGACCTGACTTTCTGCCTCATTTACACACAATTGCAGGGTCTCAATTGTTTCTCTTACTACTGACAACACAACATACATATATTGTTTCCCACTCTTGATATATATTTTTTTTTTTTTATGGCTCTTTATTATTATTATTATTATTATTCATAATATTATTATTTTTAGTAGTAGTAATAGTTAAAATTGTTATTAATTTTATTATTATTATTATTATCATCATTATTATTATTTTATTATATTTTCGCCCCCCAGGCCTTCATGTAGGTCATTAAAAATTACCTGTGCCCGGGTGGGCTGATGCCCGTAAAATAAATAAATAAATAAATAAATTAATTAATAAATGCGATGACAATTCCCCTGAGAACGATGTCTTAAGCTTTGAATACGATGACTTAATCCCTCGAAAACAATGTCTTAACCCTAGAGAAAGGTGCACTATCCTCTTGAAACGATTACTTAAATAATGGTGAAAAATCGAAATTTTGGAGAAGCTTTTTTTTTCGAAGACAGTCAGCAACTCATCCATATTTCAAAGAGGGTTTGCTTGCAAGTCACCAAACTTCCAATTTCGGCAAAATCACAATGGCTGAATAATAATAAAAAAAATGCATGGTTTTCAAACTTGGTAACTAACAAGAAAAGATTGAGAATCATCCTTCACTGAGAAATAATCTCATTCTTCATCTCGTCTTGTTTCTGCTCACATACAGTACGTATACATTGCCACCACGCCTGTTCCCCACCCTCTTATTCATTCCACTTCCTCAACCCCATTAAATCTACGTATCTACGAACTCAACCACTCATCCACTTCCATTATACCTATCTATAAAATTCAACCTCACATATAACCTCACCGAAATCCAACCTCAGCCACCGCCCAGCACCCTCCCACCCACAGTGTCTTCACCGCATTCTTATGGTTGTTGATAAGATCATGAAGATCGTCGCTAAGCTACAAGTGTACCCTGCTTATAATGTTTACTGGCTTCTTGCTCGTCCTAACGTAACGCCACGTGCTGAACCAACGTAAACATACAGCAAAAACACTAACCAATGAGTTTAGTAATAAATTTATCATATCAGTTTCTCGGCCCATTGCTTTTATTTATTTTCATCTGAAACCTGAAAAGAGGTTTGGGTACCGTAAATGACAAATTAAAGAAAATAATACAAGGGCAGAAAATCATGAGTGGCATCAGGCAGCTAATTCCTGGCAGTAGGAAGAATTTCTAGATATTAAGTGGCAACGTCTCTTCCTCACCACTACAAAAGATAAAGTCTAGTCTGTCAGCATTGGTAATCATCGCTCGTTCCTGGTGGGTGCCATAATTGTGATTAGCCTATCTGTATATTCTTACATCATCTGTTGGTTAATCCGACCGCTGTTTCCACCCAACAGACAGTTCGCGAGTCTTTTGGAAAATAATATAAAGCAAACCTTTAAGATTCTTACCAGCCGGTCTTGTAGTGTTGCGCTTCTAGATCTTGATTAGTTATGCATTTGAGCCACGCCTGTTTTTAGGTGGCGCCACCAGACGACAAATCTGAAACTTGCTTCTGATCAATACATTAACATAGTGTGGAGTTCAACCAAAAATTTAGTGTTATGGTACCTTGCACTTGGTCCTCTATTACTGAATGATTGTGTCAAGGTGAGAGTGGTATTTCATAGCCCTATTAACTGTTTAGGAGTAGAAATGAGAACTGAAAAAAACATACAAAAACTTACAAACTATCATACCCACAAACCGCCTCATTATATAATAACTGTTCTCTCACTCCCTATTATATAATAATATTATCCTTTTAAAAAAACAGCTCTTAATCCCTTCCAGATACTTGATAGTACTGCACATGATAAAATAATACAAGATACATGATAGTTCACATCTGTAACCCTTTCGTTTCTCCTGAGTTTTTATAAACACTTGGCATTTATCTTGACAAGTAAGGAGTCTCCAACAGTGTTTCTTTGATGTTATACACGCCTGGGGGTTACTATAAGAAGGATGGGCACACAGGTCTGATGCACACCATGTTGACTTCTTCACAGTTTCTTTATTTTGTTGTATTTATCAGGTTATTCTTATCATACCGTCATTCTCTCGACATTTTTTTCATTCCTTCTTCATTTTTCTTTTAATCTTCATCATCTTTACCTATATTTTAGTTGCTCATTTTCATCACCTCATCATTTTTACAATTACGTTCACCATTTTATTGTCACCATCTCATGCTTACTATCAGTCATAATAATTTCAATAATTTACATCTCCTTCAACATATGTTGACATCATGAACAGAGCCAGAAACTACAGCGACCACTGTCTTGATTCTTGCTCTTGTCATGAAGTTTATGACAGAGTGTCATTGTTGATGGAAAGGTTCGACTCATTGCTTCACATTGCGTAAATTGATATATATATATATATATATATATATATATATATATATATACAATCAATACCTCAACCTGCCAGGACTCGAACCCACGGCCCACGAGCCCATGACTGTGACCGGAGAACGCTAACCACTGGACCAACAGGATACAAAAGCAATCCTAGACTCTGTTATATTTCACACAAAGCCTGTTCAACGAGCTTATGGTGGATTTGGTCAAACGTTACTCTGACCACCTACGTGATACGGGTAGTCCCCATTAGAGGTTCACGGTGCCAGGAGCTCGTTGAACAGGCTTTGTGTGAAATATAACAGTCTAGGATTGCTTTTGTATCCTGTTGGTCCAGCGGTTAGCGTTCCCCGGTCACAATCATGGGCTCGTGGGCCGTGGGTTCGAGTCCTGGCGGGTTGAGGTGTTGATTGTATGTAGAAGTCCGCGTGTTTATTGGGCTAATGATATATATATATATATATATATATATATATATACAGTCGCCTTTTCCTTTCCTAGCTCTGTTAACTGTCCATTCCTTACCCCACCCCCCCCCCCCTTGCTTAACTTTTTCTGATGCCCACTTCTGCTCTGCCCACCTTCTGGTCGTTGCCCACTCCTGGTGTGGCCCCAGGGCAGGGCAGGGCAAGGCAGTGCGAGGCGGGGAATGAGGGCGGCCGAGCAGGTTATTTTGGTAATGGCAGCGAGAGTGAGGCTCGCTGAGATAGGGTATGGGGGGGAGGCTCTGGTTTACAATTACAGAGAGCGCTGCCAAGGAATGCCGCCCTCACCGTTATTTGGTCTTACACATCCTGCCTCAGAAAAATATCATTACCTTGCTGCTGGTGTACTTTTGGCAAAACTTTTATAGCGAAATCTTCCTGTTATTATTTAATCGAACGGCGTTCAGCTGTATCCAAGTTCAAGTTTTTTATTTGAGTTCTTTTTATGCTGTTTCTTATGTTTTCTTATTCATAACAAGAACACCTTATAACTCGATGCTCTACATACACTGGGCCACGTATGTATGTATGTATGTATGTATGTATGTATGTATGTATGTATGTATGTATGTATGTGTGTATGTATTTATGTGTATGTGAGTGTGTGTGTGTGTGTGTGTGTGTGTGTGTGTGTATGTGTGTGTGTGTGTGTGTGTGTGTGTGTTGTGTACAATGACAATTCTTGTGAGATATTGTGCACTACACTGACTATACGTGAACTTCCATATATCAGAGCCTGGTACATACACAGGTAAGTTGTTTACTGTGAGCTTCTCTGTGTATTTTCTTTCTTAAAAATGTTTAGTTTATGATTCGTTGATTTTTTTTATTTGGGAATTTTTTATGGTGGTGCTATACACATATAGAGATGTAATTATATTTCTGTGTTTTATATCTATCTATCTACCCACCCATCCATCCGTCCGTCCGTCCGTCCGTCCGTCCATCCATCCATTCATCTATCTCTCTATCTATCTATTTATCTCTCTCTCTCTCTCTCTCTCTCTCTCTCTGTGTGTGTGTGTGTGTATGTTGGGCTCAAAGAGCGAAAACTTTGTTTGGAAAATATCCAGAAAGCGAAATTTTGCTACAGGTTGGGTAAGGCTAGGTTAGGTTACGTTTGTTAGGTTAGGTTAGGTTAGGTTAGGTTAGGATGTATCTCTTGGGCAAAACCCAAGACGCAAAATTTCGCTTTCTGGCTCTTTTGAAAAAATCCATAACGCGTTTTCGTTCTTTGAGTCCAACATATACTGTATATACACACGTGTACAGGTATTTGCTTGAGTGACTGTATTTGTGGGTAAGTTTTCCACTGTATATGTATGTGAGGTGGGTACCCGTGCCCAAGTATACTGTAAGTATTCATGTACATGTATGTGTCCCTGTGTAGAGTTAAATAAATAATGAGGCCATATAAAATGCTTAAGAAGGGAGCATATAAACATGAAGAAGCAATATCACTTTCAGTGGAAATGTGAATGTGTAAAAATGTTTCTCACACACCACTCAGGTCAGAACAGCAGGAACAACCTAAGCATCTACTTGTACTTTTACTTCATATCTTGTAAAGAATTGCGAAAATATCCAAGTTATAGGAATTATATTATTCTAATGAAATCTATGAAGTTTTCGTGATGCATGACTAACGCGGCACACCCAGTCCAACAGTCTCCCCTAAGTAGTATACACTCAGAACAATACAATACTGCTCACATTGTTGGAGAGGTAGAGGCGGGGTGTGTGAAACAACACCTCGCCTAACCTGGTAATTATCTGGCACTTTTCCCAAGAAAGACCAACCCAGGAATAGCTACACACATTCTAAAGCTTACGTACTGTTAGAATCACGCGAGGCAGTGAGTCGTCCAACACGTGTTATCCACTGCCTTGCCACAGCTACAGTATGTCCCAAACGGCTGGAGGACCGTCGCTCCCTCAAAAACGTCCAACGCTACTCACAGCTTCTTGGCTCAAATTTCTTTTCCCCAATTAGTGTAGTAGTACTGCTTCGATATCCAGGCTAGACAACTGTTATTATTCTAAACTACTTGATGTAAACTTATTATCAGAGGCCATTTTTTACAACAGGGATATATATATATATATATATATATATATATATATATATATATATATATATATATATATATATATATATATGTGTGTGTGTGTGTGTGTGTGTGTGTGTGTGTGTGTCACAGTAAACAGGGAAACCTGCCGCTTAAGCCTTAAAAAGCTAGTGAGGCTTTTGCCGAATAATGATAACTGTTTTTATTGCTCTAAATCGATGGAAATTAATTCGCACATGTTAAAATTTGATCAGTTTCATGCAAGGCAACGTTTTTCTCATAAAAAAGCTAAATTATACCTAAGTTAGGTTAGGTTAGGTTTTGTATGAAACTTTTCATATACATGTATTTTTACGACCTTCATAATCGTTTATTACTAGTCAAAAGATTCCAAAACAAATATATACATATGAATTATCGCTGAATTATCGCTAATCGGCAATTATCCCTATTTGACGTAACACACACACTTTCACACACTCACACACATTCTCGGCCTCGGAATGTTTCATGGTGGGACTCACAGGCTTCTAAGGCAATCATCAAGGGCTGGACTGACTCATATATCTATAGGCTAGGTCTATTTGTTGAACACGCAGACTCAAATGAACTCTCTCTCTCTCTCGGAGGGATCGCTCATTTACCACACGTTGGATACTAATAACTGTATCTTACAGGACAAACTATAATTATAATCTACCTGTTAATATATCCTACTAAGCACAATAGACCCCCTGGATGAGTCATATCTGGATACCAACTCCCGCCTACATCACCCAGACGAGTAACTCGCAGGAGGTGGATAGCTACTTATGTATTAGGATATTTAATTTTCAGGTAATAAAATGGCGGCGAAAGTGTGGCTATTGGGGGAGGCTGGAGGCCACGCCAAAAAAAAAAGTAGTAGTAGTATTTTACTAATAACCTTATAACGTCAACGAGACAGTAATCACATTATACGGTCAATGTGTTGATTACATGTGTTGCTGTAGACTCTTTCAGCTTGAGGGTTACAAGGGTTCATATAGTTAGTGTGTCAAACAAAACCTGATGTAATGTGACCGATACAGAACTGTATGTTAGTTTACGTAATTGTTGTGTTTAACTGAGAGTCTGGGAGGTGAGTCAAACACAGGCAGCCTCCACCACTACTTTTGTTGCTTCTTCATTTAATGGTGATGAATGGAAAAATGGGTATGCTTTTAATTATTCCAATAACTTGATTTCGATAAACAAATGATCATTATAATACAGAAAATTATGATAAACTGTACAGTATAACAAAAACGCCACACACACACACACACACACACACACACACACACAAACACATACATAAATATGTTACTTTTTTTGCGGAATCAGTTATTTTGCAAAATGACCGGCATGCAAATTGGTAATTTTGCAAAATAACTTACAAACAGACAACCAAAACTAACCTAACCTTATGGTGAGGACAGCACATAGTCCAAAGTTAAGAAAAAAAAGGACCACTTACTAAAACTGTGTATCAAGCTACACGAGTCATCCTAACTTAACCTAATCTAACCTATCTAACCTAACCTAACCTAACGTATACCTTATTCAGCCATAAGGTTAGGCTAATTTAGGTTGTCCGTAAGTCATTTTGCAAAACTACCAATATGCATGCCGGTCATTTTGCAAAATATCCGATTCCACAAAAAACCGTAACATATATATATATATATATATATATATATATATATATATATATATATATATATATATATATATATATATATATATTTATTTATTTATTTATTTATTTATTTATTTATTTATTTATTTATTTATTTACTGTATATACGAGTATATATAATTATGTGCGTAAAGATAAAAATAGTGACAAACGGTGGTAACAAGTACAGTATACTAGTTTACTTACATGTGTACAACACACACGTCTTTATTTCACCAAGAGTCACTGTTAAAGGCTTTGTTTTGAAAACTCTATATTTACGTTAACACAGTTGTTACAGGGGAAAACCCCAGCTCAAGTTGTAAATATCAACAGGGAAATTTTCATTTTCTTTCGTTTCATTCCAGTACAAAAAGCCTTTAAAAATTATTATTTATTTACGCATATTTCTAGTCAGGTACACAGATCGTTATCTTTTCTCTAAGATTTCGATTGAAATAACAAATCATGTATTAAAAAACACACTTTTTGGAAAAGTAAGACGATAGCAACACGGGAGAACACTTGGCCGAGATCCAGCGTGCGCCTGGCCAGGCAATGGCTTCCCACAAGCCGGTAAGTTTATTTTGGTCAGTGTGGCCATGGTCTTCCCAGGCACCAGAGGCAAGTCAAATCTGAGAGCATACGAATCTAAACCATCAGCCCTGTTCAAGTAGACATCCTTCTAACTTATTTACTGTAAATGCACACAATAAATCGACCGCTGTAACTTTAAACTCTGTGTTGGCAACACAAAGTTTCTTCAATAAAATTCAACCGTTTCTTTCAGTGCCCACAGTATAAGTTTAGGACAACAAGACAGTATATTATGGCGCCGTACGCTGCCAGAATTTAAAAAATTAAATATGTCATAAAAAAACAAGACTTGATAAACGGTGTTTCTTAGTCCTGGCGGCTGTGGAGCTAAAGGAAGATGTAAAGATGCCTTGATAAAATCAAAACCATGTTTAGACGATTCCCGAACATTGTAGTGTAACCTAAGCGTCTCTTTTTACTCACACTGACCCAGCCATTGTTGCATTTCGACTTCATAACTATCTCACAGGTACACTAGGAAGAAACATCCTAAACGTCTTCATACGTTTTCATTTTGTTTCAACTCTAAGAAAATTGTTAATTTAATGGCTTTTCACCTCGTCACGTTGGTTAAAACATAGCTTCAATATCGCCATCGCAGTCGACACTTAGTTATGGTGAGAGATAGTCCCCATTAAAACAGATTCTATGATGTAGTAAGATTTCGCAGAGTATTTCACGGAACACCGAGTCAAAAAAAAAATCCAATAGATGGTCATAAACTTCATCTACAACTAAGTTATTAATTCACGCGAACATTAAATTCAATTTGAGAAAAAGGCTTTATATGGCAAAGACTGATGTATGGGTCAGAAGCGTGGACACTTTTAGCAGACACCAGAAAGAGGTTGGAGGCCTTTGAAGTGCGGTGTTATAGACGAAAGCTAGAAATATTTTACTCTGACAGGAAAACAAAAACTTTAAGAGAAATGAGATACTTTGGTCATATAATTAGGAATGAGGGGATAATAACAGACACACTAATGGGCAAACTTGAGGGTAGGAGGACCAGGTAGAGGCAGAGACTGAGATGGATGAATGAAATAAAAAACTGGGTCCCCAGAGAGATATAACACCTTTGAGGTTTGGTAAAAACAGCCCGAAAACGTTTAGAGTGGAGGTCCGTGGTCGCCAGCCCTCAGATATGAAGACGATACTCTGATTTATTGATGACCAGTGTTAACTAAAAATGCACAGAATTTTATATAATTTTATGAAAACCAAGAGAGCATTACGTATTCATATTAATATTATTATCATTGACGTTCACGTGCTAACACCTTACACACATACACACACACACACACACACACAAAATACAACCATAACGTCATATATGAGAGAAGGAAATGCCTTCCTGTTTATACCCATCGACCAGTAGGTGATGGTGAATCCCCGCAGGAGAGCGGAGGCTGCCAAGATTACGGAATGCTTGCCCAGCGGTGTGGCCTGGTCCATCACCACACGGTGTGGCCTTGTTCATCACCACACTGTGTGGCTTGGTCCACCACCACACTGTGTGGCCTGGTCATCACCATACTCTATGGCCTGGTCCACCACCACACTCTGTGGCCTGGTCATCACCATACTCTGTGGCCAAGGGTGCATTCAAAGAGTAGTAAGAGAAGATTAGAGTGGGTTGAAAGAA